ACTGTCATCTGCTCTGCCCCTGATACAAGAACACCACCAATGAGGTATCTCTTTCCCAAATGCCAGGTTGTGCAGGCTAGTAGTTATGATTTCCACTGTTGGGGTAGTTTCATATTCCTTTCATAAATCTGGAGTTTTTCTTTGGGCAGTACAGTCTGGGATTTGAACCAGAGGCCTCACGCATGATGCTAGATAAGCACTCTACCACTGAGCTACATCCCTAGTACTTTTATTCAAAACAGGGTCTCACTGGGCATGGTGGCACATACCTGTAATCCAAGGAAGGCTGAGGCAGGAGGATCGATGTGAGCTTGAGGCCAGCCCGAACTGCAGAGTGAAACTCTTTCTCAAAAACGGTCCCATGGAGCTGTTCAGGCTGGTCTTGAATGTACAATCCTCATGCCTCTGCCTCCTTAGTATGTAGGATTACAAGTGTGTGCCGTCCTACCTTGCTTGAGAACTTGTTTTTTTGAGTTGTGCCTGAATGAGCAGCTTCACACCTGTGTGTGTCTGCTGGGCCTCAGAGTTCCTAGGCCTGGCTTCATGAAGCAAAAATGAAACCTTCCTGAACTCAAATCCAAATCAGGAATCACTACAAGCTGTCCTGTTTTCTCCTCACTAGAGACCCCAGGTGAGGCTGGCAGCTGGCTTGTCCTTGAAGTCTAGGGCTAGACTAGGCTTCAGTCTTGGACTTCATTAAGCCTCCTGGGTACCCAGCCTGAAGCTGAACCTTTCAGGTTGGCAGCTACCCCCAGTGGTAAGTTCAAGATCTGGTATTGATGACGTCACCAGCCCCCAGAGAAGGGGAAGAGTTTGCTTCCCAGATTGAAATACACCCGAATTTCCTGTGTGTTGGCCCTCTTTGGTATGGCTGGTGGCTTTCAGCCTGGAGACATCCATGCTCAGGCCCCTTTAGAACCCGCCCTTTGGGTTTCCTGCAGCTCCCTGCTGGGTGAGGAACCCATTTAGTGTTCCAGGTACTGGTGCTGGTGACCAGGCATGCGTCGTCCTAGAGCAAGTGCTTCACTCTGTAGAGCAGGCCAGACTAAGGACCACCCACGCCTTCGAGGCTGGGATGTTCAAATCCAATTGGAAGCAGCTGCTTGTTTTAGCTTTGTCTGCATTCAACCTGTTAATCAGCCTTAGTTTGCCTTTTCTACTCTTGAATGAATCTCTGCAGTGAATTTTGAGTGACCTGCTCAGCCAAGCTCAGTGTTACAGATGAGGGTCTGGACCAGGCATTCATTGCAGCACACCCTGTCTTCTAAGAAGCACACAAGCCTCAAGACTGCAGCTCAGAGAAGCAGTGTGAGCCTCAGTATGAGGGTGGTCTTCCGGCCCAGCTTCTGCTCTGAGTGCTGCTCCTGCCAGGCTCCAGACACCACGCTCCATCCCTGGCAGCTACTCTGGTCTCTCAACTCAGATTGACCCCTGCCTCCACTGCGTTGTTTCTGGGTATGGCTCTGAGCACTACCTGACCTGTGCCTGCCCCAGCCTCCTCCCCCTGTGCTGGAACAGGGGCTTGGCAGAGCAGGGCCTGGGCTCCACGACGCCTGACACAAGATGTGCTCCATCAGCACTGATCGACCAGGCAGTGAATTCCTTAAAGTCCCACAGCCTGTGCCAGAGTTCCTATTTCCAGAGGAGGACGCACAGGCTGCCTGCCCCAGGATCCAGTAACAAGTGTCCAGCCCATCCATATTCACTTCAGCCCAGCTGTGCGCCTACCCACATACAGAGACGAGACATGGTATCGCAGTGTCTTGTCTTCCTTGTCCTTTTTCTGACCAGCAGCTTCTGATCTCCGCCATAGCACTCCAAGAAATGTTAGACAATGACGCCCATCTGAGGTGCTTTGGAGTTTTAGAGGATACTGCTGACTGAAACCCGCATGTCCCTCTCAAAGCTTCCCCACCCCTAAGTAACACTTGTTTTAAACATGACATTCAGGGGCTGCCCTGCAGCAGGGATTTGAGTCTCGTTTCACAGCCTTCATTTTGCGCCGGGGTCTCCAGTTCCCGGGGCAGGTGCAGTGCCCTCCAAGGCCCTCCTCCCAGTGCCGTCTGGCAGCTGTGGTTTGACGGCTTGACGTTTTAGGGTTGTAGGGGAAGCCAAGGTAAGTGGCCACCCTGATGGGCAGGGCCTGATGAAATCTGCAGCCAGCATACCACAGTTCTATTCCAGACAGCCCAAAAATATTTGATTGTTTTTATGACCAGAATAGTCACCATCTTTGACAATGCGTGCACCTGCCAGAATTTTCCCTCCAGTTCTAGGAGTTGAACCCAGGGTCCTCCATTGGGCTATTTTTTATTTTTTTGTTTAGAGATAGGGTCTTCTCATTAAGTTAACTTGTGATCCTCATTCCTCAACCTCCCTGTGTGTTGGGATCGCGGATGGGGGCCATCTCTGGCCAGAAGTATATTTTAGTCCCTTACTATCTTGCAGCTCTGGGGAGGTATAAGCTTTTTTTTTTTTAAGACAGGGTCTCGCTGTGTAATTCAGACTGACCTTGAACTCACTATGTAGCCTAGGCTGGTTTTGAATTCTCAGCAGTCCCCCTGCCTCAGCCTCTCAAATGCTGGAATTACAGCCATGTGCCGCCACGCCAGGTGGATTAAGCTTTTTAATTGATGGAAGAGAAAGAGCTTGGGTCAGGCTGCTGAGTTCAAGTCTTGCCTCATCCCCTGTAAGGCTTCGGGACCCTAAACTAGTTAATTGCTTTCTCTTCCTTGTGGTTTACTTATCTGAAAATGGAAATGGTAGTAATAATAACAGTGCTTACTCATGCCATTATGGAATGGCTTACAGGGGAGAAGAGATGTGCTTAGAGAGGCCCAGCATGCAGTGCATGCCTGACCGCAGTGCCGTGGGGAAGCACAGTAGTTCCTTCCAGAATGGGCCTCTGAGAGGCTTTGTAAGAGAGGGAACGTGGGGACATGGGGAGGAGCCATGAGGTGCATGGAGATGGAAGCACTGCCTGGTGCATAGTGCAGAGCCACCCCCCTAGACACCTTTGGTTCCCCTCTGGGCTGCCTGAGCATGGTGGCTTCTCTTCCTCTCCTACCCTTGTGACCCTCCCCACCCAGACACTCTGCTCCAGAGCATCACTTTCCTCCAAGAAAGGATCAGAGGGAGCCCTGAAAGGAGCCCCCTCTTCAGGAACATGGTTCCTCCTAGCCAGCAGCTGCTCGCTCTGCCCTCTTGCCAGCTTCTGCCTACTACTGTGTTCCTGCTGCAGCCCAGCCCCAGCCAAAGCCTCAGCTTCGCCTCCCCGACTTGGGGTGGTGCAAGAGAAAGCACCGTGCTGCTCCCCTTTATCTCTGGGCAGATGCCCCCAGGGAATGATGTGCAGGGTTCTCCTTTGGGACCCCTCTATCCAACATGGCCTGGTCCCTGCCCCCTAGGGGGTCCCACACTGCAGCTCCTGGTTTCTGTGGTGGCTTGGGAAGACCCCAGTTGTGGCTTTTGAAATCTAAGCTGGGCAGGTCTTTGGGCTGGGTAGGACAATACAGAAAATACCATAGCTCAGAATAAAGATGTGGGCGCACAGCGTCACAGCACAGAAGGTTTTCTGAGTTAGAAGAAGGGCAGGCCACTGCAGCCTGACCCCTAAAGCAGCTGACTCAGGAGCCTGGCCCCTTAGGGGACTTCTGCCTGTACCCCGAAAGAGCTGTGAGGTCAGGCAGTTAGCGCAGGCAACTGGCTGAGCAGTGCCAAGGCCCCACGCACCATGAGCCTGTCTGTATTTTTTTCCTCGCTTGTTCGGTCCTGTGATAGCCGCTGGCATCCCCATTGTGCATATGCAGACTAGAGCGGACTGTCAGGCCAGAGGACTTCATGGGGAACTGCTCAGTCTGCCATCAAGTGGTGCAGGGCTGGGGATGCTATAGGATTTCTACACTGCTGCTGGATAGTGGGGTTCACTGTTTCCCTTTATGCCCTACAGATAGAGTCTTAGTCATCACTGCCAAAATTGCAGCACTTCGGGTCTGCCTTTGTACTGTCACCGTTCTGGGGCCCAAGGGTTGTGAGCAGAGAAGCTGCTGCCAAGGACCGGGCCATCCAGTTGGGTAGTATTTGAGGGAGCAGGTCCCCCAGCCCTGTGGTCTGGGGTCAGACCCAGGGAGCAGCCCAGCTTTGGGGACCCAGCAAAAGAGAAGACAGGCTGCTTTGGGGAGCACCAGCCCCTTGTGGGGCTTTGGGAGGGGGAGCAGCAGTCAACTAGCAAGAGTGGTAACTGCTGGGCCTGGGGATTTAGCTCACCGGCATAAGCGCTTGCCTTGAAAGCAGGCAGTCGTGAGTTTGATCCCTGGTACCGATAAAAAGGAAAAAGACAAAAAAAAAAAGAGTGGTAACTGCTGTGGCAGGGGGTCTGTGAAGGGACAGGTCAGGTGCTTGGCTGTGGGGCCTGGCTCTGCAGTGCCTAGATAAGGAGCAGGCTGCAGAGGGGATAAGTCAGATTAGAACGCAGTGTCAGATGACAGTCTGGCTTCAGGGTGACCCGCCACCCACCTAAGTCATGCAGGTCCCAGTTCTGTCTCCTCAGTGCTGCATAACTGCAGGTGGAGATGGGCAATTGAGGAGGGTAGGCAGGATTAACCCACAGCAAGCTGTTACCCTTGCCCGCAAGCTAGGCCTGTGTGTTCTGTCACTCAGCTGTCTCCACGCTGTCCAATCAGGAGCACCTCCCGAGCCTGGGCTGGGGCGGGCAGGCAGCAGTGTCGCCTAGCACAGGCTACACCCTGGGCTCCATCCCAGCATCACAACAAACCAGAGAACCTGCAGTGAGCCAGATGTTAGCATTTGGTAGGAGACAGTGACCTCAGGGGACACTGAAGACTTATGGGCAGGACACATGCCACACTGCGTGCTGTAGTGCCACCTGGGGTTGTGGAAATTATTCGTGCTGCACGTACGGGCAGCATACATGGGAGATGGGCAAATGTGTCTTCTGATGGCTCCAGAGCCACCTCTGACACCCGTGTTTCCCTTCACAGCTGAAACTAGAGGACCGTTCGGTGGTGCCCCGAGATGTGGTCCGGCACATGCGCTCCACCGTGAGTCCTGGGCCCCAGGGAGACTTCTTGAAACTCGAGCCTGTCAGTCCCGTTCCCTGCAGGACAGCTGCCTGGCTCTGGAATGGGCCTCCTTGGGATTTTCTGGGCAGGTCTCCCTGGTGGCCTCAGCCTAGATGCCTTCTCCCTTCCTCAGGACAGTCAGTGTGGCACAGTGATAGACGTCAACATCGACTGCGCTGTCAAGCTCATCGGCACCAACTGCATCATCTACCCCGTCAACAGCAAGGATCTGCAGCACATCTGGGTGAGTGGCCCCTGCCGAGTATTCTCTCAGCTCACTCTGGCCAGTGGCCAACTCGCCCCTGCTGGCCTCCTGCTTGAACTTGCAAATCAGCCTTGCAGGCACAACATCCTGACACATCCTTCCCCTCCAGCTCCAGCAGAGGTCACTAGTGCAGTTCTCTTGCTGTGTAGCCCAGGCTGGCCTCAAACTCACTGTTCTCCTGCCTCCACCTCCTGAGGGTTGGGATTATAGACAAGCGCCACCCTCCCAGCACAGCACTTTTTTAAAAAACAGATTTCTTTTCAATAATGTGCTTTCTAAATGATTCCAAACTTAGAAAAAGATGGTAAATTCATGGATATGCTCATCCGGCTTCCTCAGCTAGTAACATCTCACTCTCTCTCTCTAGACTTTTTCTTTTCCCGAACCATTTGAGACCAAGCTAAGACATAGGCCCCATCAGCTTGAACACCATGGTGTTTTCCGGAACCAGCAGCGCACTCCCATGTAACTACCACACGATCCCCCAGCTTAGGAAACAGTCACTGGCATATTTCTGTTCTCTTCTCAGACCCCATTTGCTTGTCCCGACAGTGTCCTTTTCCCTTTGTTGACCCAACATTCCATTCAGGAACACACCTGGCACCTTGTTGTCAGCTCTTCCAGCTCTCTCTGATCTGGCATGGCTCCTGTATTTCCTCCTCCTCCACACCTTGGACAGTGACACAGTCAGTAGCATGACTTTCACCCTTGGTCTGGTGTTGTCTCCTGACCAGGACAGCCACTGCTGAGCTTTCCCATGGCTCTGTCCCCTGCTCATGCCAGCGACCTCAGATCTCTCCACACTAAAGTCTCCTTTACACCTTTAGAATGGACTGTATTTTGTGGGGAAATACCCCAAGTGTGTCAGTCACCTGGTGCCTGTCTCACTGCTCTCCACTGATCTTAGCCTTTTTCCCCTCTAACCAGCTGTCACTCTCACAGCGGCTGCCGTGCACATGTGAAGGTGTCATTCTGTCGTCGTCGTCATTAGTGGGCACTGTCCTATGTAGAAGAGCTTTACCACTTTTTATCTTCTAGCCTATTCATGTAGTTCCTTGCTCGCTGGTTTATTTTGTGATGACAGGACTGAAACCAGGCCCTGGAGCTCTACCACTGAACTGTATCCCCAGCACTGGCTCATTTGTATTTTTCTTAATTGTTTCCCCCAAACTAAGGATTAAACCCCCAAGATCTTAGCAATGAGCTATATCCCCAACCCTTTGTATGTTTTATTTAGAGACAGGGTCTCCCTGAGTCACGAGTTGTCTAGGCTGGGCTTCAGCTTGCAATCTTCCTGCCTCATCTTCTCAGTGATGAGATTACAGGCAGCTGATTTATGGTTTTTTCCTAAGTAAGATAACTCTTGGAGTGGTGTTTCATTCTGTTGGTTGTGATTCATTGCTACTCTTACTTTCTGTGTTGCTGTTAAAAGTGCCCTCAGGCCAGTTTTTGTATTTTAAATGGCTCCCTCTCACTCACTTGTTTTTTCTTTTTCTTTTCTTTTCTTTCTTTTTTTTTGTCTTTTTCCTTTTTATCGGTACCAGGGATCGAACTCATGACTGCCTGCTTGCAAGGCAGGCACTTATGCCACTGAGCCAAACCCCCCGCACCCTCCCCCCCTCTTTTTTTAAAAGCACTTCTTTGCTAAAAAAAACCAGTTTCCTTCTCATCTTACATTTTGTTTCTGATCCAGCCCAAGAATTAGTCATTTCTCTAAGGACTTGGAGAAATGTCTCACTGCTCTCCACCGATCTTCACTGATCCAGTGAAGAATAGCATTTTAAAAGCCAAGATTCTGGGGCCAGGGGCTCTATCTCAATGGTAGAGTGCTTGCCTATCGTGCTCAAGGCCCTGGCTTCAGTCCTAGCACAGCAAAAGTAGAGAGAAAAAAAACCCAAGTAAGATCTTGATGTTAGTGTGCTAACTGTAGTAGACCCTTAGCGTAGTAAGAAGTGCCTGTGTGTACATGATACACATGTACAAGCCTCCTAATTATGTCAGTGCCCATGTATATTAAAATACACATATTTGTCTTCATACTTCTGATTCGATCTGAACACCTCCAACTCTTCCTTTCTTTTTCCCCCTTTCCATTGGTGGCAACAATGAGAAACCTGGCTCTCAGCATCCTCAGTACCTCATCTATTTACTAAGCCCTTTACTTGTCCACACAACCACCTGCTAGCTGTGTGGCTGTCTCCTCTGCCCCTCCAGACTCCCACATTCCCCAGGCATCCCCACACTACTGCCTTCTCCTTTTCCTGGGGTGATACTTGGGGGTACAGCCTGGAATTGCCATGGGGAGCCTGCAGGGTGATTGTGTAGATCCAGTGGTTGACCAGTCCACACATAGGCCATCCAGAGCCTTCTTCACTGTCTGCTCTGATGCTTGGATGTCATCAGCAGTGCCTCTTCTGTCTCTTACCGTCCTGTGCCCTTGCCCTGCAGCCCTTCATGTATGGGGACTACATTGCCTATGACTGCTGGCTGGGAAAGGTCTATGACTTGAAGAACCAGATCATCCTCAAGCTGTCCAATGGCGCCAGGTGGGTCTCACCAGCAGGGATACCTCTGCGGAGGAATGACAGCTGTGGAAGGTTGGCGGGGGAAACATCCTCACAGGCCATACACAGGCCTGATCCAGGCAGGACCCCACCATGTTACCGGCATTCAGGGCCTAACCTGTATTGGGCTCTTTATCTGTCTTAGCTGAGGTCACCTGATTAATGTCTGGGCTACCTTGTTTCGGTGAAACGTCTTTCTTTAGGGTATCTGCAGAGCACGGACTTTATTTGACACTTTAATTCAGTGGGCACTCAGGTGAGACTTCAGGTCTTGTACCATTGCAGAGGCTGAGCCTTGGTAGAAGCAGAGTAGTACCTGTTAGGCCTCATGGGTGGCTTGGTACCTCTAGATCACCACTACTGGGCGTTTGGTTGAGCCTGGTGGAGACCAAGCCTGTGTTCACTGTTTTAGGTGCTCCATGAACACAGAAGATGGTGCCAAGCTGTACGACATCTGCCCACATGTCAGTGACTCGGTACGTGAGTGCTACCAAGCCGGCTTCTCCGAGGGGGGTTCCCCTCTCCAACTCATTTGGCTGCATAGGAAAGGGGACTTCCCAGCAGAGAGCTTGGAGCTGACGCAGGCTAAGCAAAGGGGATCCCCAGAAGAGGGGCGAGTGTACACCAGACTATCTAGAAATTTAGGCTAGGGCAGAGACTTCCAGAACTTCCATTTTATATGCATTTCATCTCATCCTTTAAAGACTCAGTGTGAGCCTATGTAGGGTGACTTAGTCCAGTAGGACATGTTGGCACATGGTCCCAACAGTTTGTACTGCAGCATGTGGTATAAAACAGGTTAAACAGGCTTAGGGACCTGCTCTCTAGAACTGAAAGTGTGACCCTTGACCAGCAGTGTTGGCATTGATGAGCGTGTGTTGTAGCTTGCAGCTTAACAAGATCCCTGGGTGACTGATTTGCATGTGGAATTGATGAAATGCAATAGGCTGTGTCCAGGAGGAGAATGAGGCCTGTGTGGTGTGGCTTTTGCAGGCAGCACTGGCAGGGGCAGGTACAGGGAACACTGTCACCCAAGGAGGCCTCACTCACAAGGACTTTTCTCTGGCCCTAAATCCTGCAGGGTCTCTTCTTTGATGATTCCTATGGCTTCTACCCGGGCCAGGTGCTCATCGGCCCCGCCAAGATCTTCTCCAGTGTCCAGTGGTTGTCAGGGGTCAAGCCCGTACTCAGCACCAAGAGCAAGTTCCGGGTGGTGGTGGAGGAGGTAGGGAGTGGCCAGTGGTGGGGGGTGCCAGACGTCCAGTCATGGAGTGGTTCATAGGCTGATATCTCCCTCCTGCCTGCATAGGCTGAGCAAGAGGGTGGGTAGTGTATGTCTGCATGGGGCGCTACACCATGAAGATCCACTTCCCTGTCCGAGGGGTTGAGGGGATCTGCGTAGCAGGTTATAGAGAGTACCATGGGTTCAGTAATTCCCAACACACACACACACACACACACCCCAAAAAAGTCCAGTGAGAACCTGTCTGGACTGTGGCCCATCCTACCTACCTTCCCCAGGTTCAGGTCGTGGAGCTGAAAGTCACATGGATTACCAAGAGTTTCTGTCCTGGGGGCACAGACAGCGTCAGCCCCCCACCCTCTGTTATCACTCAGGAAAATCTAGGCAGGTGAGTAGACTTCACTGCTGCAGTCCCAGGGCCACTTCTGGAGCCAGGCCCTGGGCCCCTGGCTATTAGTGCACAGAGGGCTGGGAACACACTGGCCTCTCGAAGCCCAGCCCAGCCCCTGCTTGTCCCCTCCAGGGTGAAGCGTCTCGGATGCTTTGACCATGCTCAGCGGCAGCTGGGGGAACGCTGTCTGTATGTCTTCCCAGCCAAGGTAGAGCCAGCTAGGATTGCCTGGGAATGTCCAGAAAAACACTGCGCCCCGGGGGAGGGCTCTATGGCCAAGAAGGTATGTCCTCGGGCTGGGGTGGCAGGCTCTTGAGGAACTGGCCAGGAGCCATTTCCATGGCCAGGAAGAATGGTCTTTGCTTTAAGGCTTGGGGGCTGTCCTGAGGACCCTGGTTGACCACTTAGGTGTGTTGAGCTGTTGTCCCCTGTGAGACCAGGAGCATGGGGCCAGGCCAGCCTGGGTGTCCCATGGGCACAGGGCGGGGCTGCCATGTGCTGCTCCCCACAGCATCTTGTCCTCCTTTTGCCTATGCAGGTGAAGCGCCTTTTGAAGAAGCAGGTCGTGAGGATCATGTCTTGCTCCCCGGACACCCAGTGTGCCCGGGACCATTCTATGGAGGACCCCGACAAGAAAGGGGAAGCCAAGGCCAAGAGTGAAACAGGTTCTGCTAGCCCAGAGGAGCCACCTGACAGGTCTGCCAGCCCAGTGGAGATGCAGGATGAGGGCCCTGAGGAGCCCCAGGAAACCGGCCAGCCACTGCCTCCCTTCCTGCTGAAGGAGGGTGGGGATGATGGGCTGCACTCAGCAGAGCAGGATGCGGATGACGAGGCTGCTGATGACACTGATGACACCAGCTCCGTGACCTCCTCTGCCAGCTCCACCACCTCCTCCCAGAGCGGCAGCGGCACAAGTCGCAAGAAGAGCATCCCTTTGTCCATCAAGAACCTGAAGCGAAAGCACAAGAGGAAGAAGAATAAAATTACTCGTGACTTCAAACCAGGAGACAGGTAAATACGGAGCGCCCAGCCTAAGATGGAGTAGAGGGCACACAGGTGCACACATAACTGCACGGGAGCACACAAGGCTTGCAAGCCTCGTGCCAGCCCAGGCTGACAAGAGGGGTCTAAGTGGGGTAGTGGCTGGAGTGTGAGCCAGGCCTGGGCTCCCCTCAAGGGGTCTGCTTCTCGGGAGAGCCACAGCTTTAGAAAGTGAGCTCCACGTGCATCTGGCCTCTTCCCTGGCCACCAGGGATTCAGCGCTTCAAGTTCCAGGCCACAGGGTGGGGAAGGGAGCGAGTCCCCAGCCCTGTCCCTGGAAACCTGGTGTGGTCGCTCACTGGCCTGCACCTGGCAGGGTGGCAGTGGAGGTGGTGACCACCATGACCTCAGCTGACGTGATGTGGCAGGACGGCTCCGTGGAGTGCAACATCCGCTCCAATGACCTCTTTCCTGTGCACCATCTGGACAACAATGAGTTCTGCCCTGGAGACTTTGTGGTCGACAAGCGAGGTAGTACCAGTCCCAGGAGAGCCAGGGGAGGCCAGAAGGAATGGGCAGGGGCTCTCGAGTCAGAGCTAGGAGGAGGCTGCCCTTCCAAGGCCGTGTGTTCTAAGCTGAGGCTCCTCCTCTACCGTGCTCCCTCTGGTCCCACAGTTCAGAGCTGTCCAGACCCTGCTGTGTATGGCGTGGTGCAGTCTGGGGACCACATCGGCCGCACCTGCATGGTAAAGTGGTTCAAGCTGCGGCCGAGCGGGGATGACGTGGAGGTGAGAGTGGGCAAACCCCATTCTTTCTTCCCATGGGCTGTGCCGGTCCCCGGAGGGTCCTGCTAAGGTCCCTGGCTCACAGCAGCCCATCTTGTACTGCAGCTGATTGGAGAAGAGGAAGATGTGAGCGTGTATGACATTGCTGACCACCCTGACTTTCGGTTCCGCACGACCGACATTGTCATTCGAATAGGCAACACTGAAGATGGGGCTGCACACAATGAGGACGAAGTAGGTTCAGATTCACCATCTTTGTCCCCCGCCCATATCAAGCAAGTGCAATCCTTGATAGTGCCACTAGGTGGCTCCAGAAGGCAAGCCCTGAAAGTCTTCTGGGTTCAGTGGCTCCTCCACCCTAACACCTGTGGCATTTTGGCTTCCTGAGCCGTGCTGCTCGTGTTTCGGAGGAGCTAAGCTCCAAGTCACAAGCCATGTGAGCATGAATCAAGCGCTGCAGAGCACAGGCTTGAGAGGTGGAGCCTGAACTGGGTGTTGAAGGAGGAGTGGGCACGTTGGGTGGGGTCGGGGCTGGAGGTGGGAACCCCATGCTGGGAAGCAGGACAAGCCTAGAGAGGCCCAGAGAGGCCAGAGTGCTGATGCGGAGAAGGAATTCGTAGGGCTCGGGAAGAGCCATGTTGAGCATTCACTGCTCACGGGTGGTGTCTACGGAATGAGAGTGCATGAAAGGGCCCATCCCTGAGTCAGCACCTGCAAGAGCTCCTGTCCTGCAGTCCTCATGGCCTCATCCCTTATCCTCAACTTCAGGAGCTCCTTCAGAGGTGCTCTGGCCTGTGCCACTCCCAGAGAACCACTCCCTTGACTATGTCCCCTTTGACCAGCAGCCATCAGTGGGTCAGGTGGCCCGTGTGGACGTCAGCAGCAAGGTGGAGGTGGTGTGGGCCGACAACTCGAAGACCATCATCCTGCCCCAGGTAAGGCTGTGTCAAGGCCCTGGGCTCTGGGCTCGTGGCCTTGCTGGGAGCTCCTGTCCTTAAGGCTTTGGAGTAGGCTTTCTGGTCTACCCACAGAGCCCCAGGTGAAGAAACAGAGGCACCCCACATGCCCAGGTACGTAGATGTGTTCTCAAACTTCCAGGTTTCTCCTGGATTCTGAGCTTACTAATATTGAGAAAATGCAAGTTACTTATAGGAGATAGGGACTTTCCTACTTATACTTCTTGTAGCAGACAAGAGGAAGGAGAGCTGACCTCCATTCTGGCCCCTGCTTTAGCCAGCCGTATAGACCTGCTCTCCTTTCCTGGCTTGGTTGGGGCAGGGGCAGGTACAGTGTGCTGGGGTGGGGTCATTGAGGGCACGAAATGCCTTCTTCCCTTACCCTAACTGCCACTCCAGGGAACGGTCGCAGTGTAGCCAGCCTTCCCACACTTTTCCTGTCACGTGTTTTCAGTACCTAAAAGCTGTCTTGGGGCAGCAGCAGCTTGCCTGCATCTTAGCAGTAGGCTCGATTTGCTCAGATTCCCCCACCCACCCGGCCCCTCAGCCTTGGGCAGAGGCTGACCAAGTGAACAGAGTGGGGCAGGATCTGGGTTGGCTGTTGGGGGATTTGGGCCCTGCGCAAAGGAAGAAGGGATAGGCAAAGGGCCCTTCTCAGGGACTTAGGGACTCCCTGCACTGGGAGACCCAAGCTGCAAGGCTGAGAGCAGAAGAGAGGGGAAGGTAGAGTAGTGTCACCAGTGCCGCAGGGATTCACCATCAGCTGTGAGGATGGGGTCCCCAGAACTCCTCCATGAGGGACAAACTTCCCATCTAAGTTAGCACTTCTCTGTCTTCTGCCTCCAGCACTTGTACAACATTGAATCCGAGATTGAGGAGTCAGACTATGATTCAGTGGAAGGCAGCACCAGTGGGGCATCTTCAGACGAGTGGGAGGATGACAGTGACAGCTGGGAGACAGACAATGGACTGGTGGAAGATGAGCACCCCAAAATAGAGGAGCCCCCCATCCTGCCCACTGAGCAGCTGTCAGCACCCGAGGAGGACAAAGGCGTAGTGATCAGTGAAGAGGCTGCCACCGCTGCCATCCAGGGGGCCGTGGCCATGCCTGCTCCCGTGGCAGGACTGATGGAGAAGGCTGGCAAGGATGGGCCCCCCAAGAGCTTCCGAGAGCTGAAGGAGGCCATCAAGATCCTGGAGAGCCTCAAAAACATGACAGTGGAGCAGCTGCTCACTGGCTCTCCCACTTCCCCCACTGTGGAGCCTGAGAAACCCACCAGAGAGAAGAAGTTCTTGGACGACATTAAGAAGCTGCAGGAGAACCTCAAGAAGACCCTGGACAACGTGGCCATCGCAGAGGAGGAGAAAATGGAGGCAGCACCTGACACCGAGCGCAAGGAGGACAAGCCTGAAGGGCAGTCGCCAGTGAAGGCCGAGTGGCCCAGCGAGACCCCTGTGCTCTGCCAGCAGTGTGGTGGCAAGCCCGGTGTCACCTTCACCAGCGCCAAAGGCGAGGTCTTCTCCGTGCTGGAGTTTGCACCTTGTGAGTGGGCTCTCCTGCCCGTACCTCCTCAAGCCTGCTGCAGGGCTCCTGACTTTGTAAACACATCTGGCCTGGCCCCTGCTCCTGCCCCAGGGCCACAAGTAGTGTCTTGTGCAGGAGCGGTGGGAGGGAGACTCCTGGGTTTCTTCCCTTAACTGGGTACACACCAGGCAGTGGTCTCCCCCACCCCAGCCCTGCTTCCGAGGGGCAGTCAGTTTTGCAGGTGGAGCTGCCAGAGCTTCCACATAGGGTCTGATTCTTCTCTTTTCCCCTCCAGCAAATCACTCTTTTAAGAAAATTGAGTTCCAGCCTCCAGAAGCCAAGAAGTTCTTCAGCACGGTGCGGAAGGAGATGGCACTGCTGGCTACCTCACTGCCCGATGGCATCATGGTCAAGACTTTTGAGGATAGAATGGCAAGTGGGCTGATGGGGCTTGGCAGGGGCAGATGCAGGTGTGCAGTACGGGCACTGGATGCCTGACACTGCCAGTCCTGGATCTTTAGAGCTGACTGGCACCTGGCCACAGCCACTCACCACCCACTTTTAACGGGGAGGGAACGGTGCCATCAGATGCGGGCTGACTCGGAGGCCTGTGGCCTGAGGTGGTCCATTCCTGTTCTTTAAAAATTAGCTTAAAGTTCATTATACAATTACCCAGGTCTGCTCTGCTTTCTGAAAAATCAGAACATTTCAGAAAGAGCTCAGATTGTCCTTGAACAATGCTCACCTCCTTTTCCCCCCAAATCGGAGGCTCTTTCTCAGTTCCCAGAGGATCTGACATTGGACATTGGTGGATATCCTTCCAAATGACCTTTTAAAAAATGGCTTTGCATTCTTGTGTATCACAAGAGCAAATAGTATTTTGTATGATTTAGTTGCATAAATAGTGTGGCACCTGTGGTTTGCTTGCTTTTCCCCACATGGTAGTTGGTGAGACCTGCCCCTGATGTGCACATTGGCTCAGCTGGTTCCTCTAGTTACTAGCATATTCTGCTTCCTGTTCCTCTGTCTGAGGCCCGGATCCTGCATTCCTCAGCCCTGTTTGAGGAAGGCACTATGAAAAACAGATAGGCATGTCTGACCAATCAGCTTACTGAACCTTCTCAGCCTCTGCTGTGAACCACGGCTATACCAGACGCTGAGTTTGAGTTCAGGGCTCACTCAGCTGGGGCCCTGTTCTGAAAGGAGTCAGGAAGGAAAAAAGAGGGATCCTGAGAGTGGGGGCAAAGGGCATTGCTCCGACAGCCCCATGACAGGGGAGTCCTTAATAATATTTCTGTTTCTCTTGTTTTTTGGTAAAACTCCTTTAGAAAATTCCAGCCTGTCTCAAATCTGCTGAGGGGTGGAGAGAGTTGTGCATTCTGTTTTGTCACAGTTTTTTCCAGATCTCAGGGTGGCATGGGTTGGAGCATGCATGAGGCGATTGCATTATTGCTCAGTTCGTGCTGTCCCCTTCATCCCTTCTTGCCCCGCTCCCCCGAGTTGTTATTCTGGCAGTCACAGTGTGTGCCAGCACATGCACAGAGCCCAGAACCTGCATGCTGTGAGCCAGTTCCTGGGACTCAGCAACCTCATTGTCTCCCACTGTTTGAGCTGGAATCCAGAGCCTCGGCGCCAGCCTTCTAGGTGAACACATCCTGCCTCTGCCTCAAGTGCAGATGTCTTCACGTAGCACCTCTGTTGTTGTGGTGCCGGCGAGCCGGGGTGCTGCTGCTCACACTGTATCTCACAATGCCTTGCATGCCAGCTCTGCCCTCTCTGCCTCCTAGGACCTCTTCTCAGCTCTAATCAAGGGCCCCACTCGAACCCCCTACGAAGACGGCCTCTACCTGTTTGACATCCAGCTCCCCAACATCTACCCAGCTGTGCCCCCCCACTTTTGCTACCTCTCCCAGTGCAGTGGCCGCCTGAACCCCAACCTGTATGACAATGGGAAAGTGTGTGTCAGCCTCCTGGGCACCTGGATTGGAAAGGTGAGTGACACCTCAGTGCCCCAGCCTGGATGGAAGAGACAGGGCGGGTGTCTGTTGGGGATGTGCTTACAGTGCTGTGTGTATTTCAGGGGACAGAGAGGTGGACAAGTAAATCCAGCCTACTCCAGGTGCTCATCTCTATCCAAGGTACTGCCAGGCCGGCAAGGCCATGCTGGCTGGGAATCTGCCCCTGGGGGAAGGCAGACCCACCCCAGCGGACTCCTCACCACTGACAGGGTGTCCTCCCTGCAGGTCTGATCCTGGTGAACGAACCTTACTACAATGAAGCCGGCTTCGACAGTGACCGGGGCCTGCAGGAAGGCTATGAGAACAGTCGCTGCTATAATGAGATGGCACTGATCCGTGTGGTACAGTCCATGACACAGCTGGTTCGGCGGCCCCCCGAGGTCTTTGAGCAGGAGATCCGGCAGCACTTTAGCACCGGTGGCTGGCGGCTGGTGAACCGCATCGAGTCCTGGTTGGAAACCCACGCGCTACTAGAGAGGGCCCAGGCGCTACCCAATGGGGTCGCCAAGGACAGCAGCTCTCCAGAGACAGCTGCTACGGCCGAGCTCTCAGACTCTGGCCGAGAAGAACCTGAGGATGTCGGAATGGCCCCTGGAGAGGCCTCCCAGGGCTCAGACTCAGAGGGGGCTGTCCAGGGCCCGGCCTCCACTAGCAGGGACCACACAGATCAGACTTCGGAGGTGGCACCTGATGCATCCGTACCACCCAGCGTCAAACCAAAGAAGCGGAGAAAGAGCTATCGGAGCTTCTTGCCTGAGAAGAGCGGCTACCCTGACATCGGCTTTCCCCTCTTCCCACTCTCTAAGGGTTTCATCAAAAGCATCAGGGGCGTCCTGACGCAGTTCCGGGCTGCGCTGCTAGAGGCAGGCATGCCTGAAAGCACAGAGAACAAGTAGCCCCCAGCCCTCAAGGAAGGAGCGTCACGGTGGGAGAGGCCAGCTGCTGCCCGCTCACTCCCTCCCCTGGACCCACCCTTCTTCCCAGCCCCCCTCCCCAGTTTGAGCTTCCCACTGCCCCCCTCCCCAAGGCAAGTTTGATGCTGTCGCAAAACAATCTCACTAAGCAGGTCCCCTGTGGTAAAGAGAACTGGAACCCAGTTGCAATTTCCCACTTGTCACCCAAGGCAGGATGTCACGACACTTGTTCCCTTGCTGCCCTTTTCTCAGGTCAGAGGTGGGGTGCTCCAGGGCCCTGCAGATGGGCAAGAGAGTGGATGTGCCTTGCATGATGTACGGGCTGCTCTTGCAGTGTCCCTGGTCCCTTTTATCCTCTGCAGTTGGACTGTAGTCCCCGATATCCCCGCTGCCACCACCACTGGGTCCCCTCGATTCCCAGTGTCAACACTTATCTCATGGGAGCTGTAACTGCTACCACTGACTTCTGGCTCTGGCCTGTTTGCCACACTATACCTTTAGGCCTATTGAACTTGCTCTCTGCAAGAAGGGAGGAGCAGGGTAGGTTCAGGGTGACCCCCCAGGAGAGGTGGTGGCCCTCACACCAACATGGGCCAAGGACAGGCTACTGAGAGCAGCAGCTGCAGCTGCCTCACTTGCTTCTCCCACCTACAGCTAGTGGGGCACCTGCAGTTCTGGCCTCAGCCGTGCCTGTGGGGACTTCGTAGAGGTCTGCACCCCATCCAGTGTGCTCTCCACCAACGGAGCAGGAGCTCGGGCCAGGCAGGTACCCACCAAGGCCTCCCCTGGCCAGTGGCCCAGCCCCACGTGGGGTGAGTGAGGCCTTAGAAGCCCTGCGGCACATAATGCACTGCAGTCCAGAGACAGAGAAAGTGGTAGCAGCGGGAGCTCACCCCAACCCCCTCCTCCCCAGAGACTGGCCCAGAGGTTTACAAGTTTTCTAGGCTTTTGATAATGTGAAGCTCCAGGTAAAGAGGATGCTGTTGAGCACATTGCAGCTATGTAATTTCTGGTTTATGTATGTAATATTTAAGGTTGGAAAAAAATCTCAAAAGCAGTTATTAACTCTTAATAGAAAAAAAAAAGACAAAAAAAAAAAAAAAAAGCCAAAGCATGATTCGTTTTGTCAGCCTTAAGTGGGCTCCACGCCTGTACTGTGCCAGGACCGCGTGGGCAGCAGAGTTGGGAAGGACAGAGCTGTACTGCGCCGCAGGACTCCCAGGCACTCAGACTATCTAAACACACATCCAAGTGCCCAGGGCTGTGCATCCCTGTGTGCCGTCTACATGGAGATATGAATGCCTACTGCTTCCAATACCTGTATAAAATGCTGTGTGATTAAACATTTTTTTACTTGCAATTTTTTTTGGGTTGGCTCATTAACAAGACAAGGTGACACCATTAAACTTGCCTCTGCCATTCAGCTGGGCTCTGTTGCCTTTCTTCCTTGTTTGTCCGTGTCCCTCACGGTCCACCTCCCAGGAAAGGCTCATGACAGTGGGTCCTGGATACTCCCTGCCCTCATGCCTTCTGCATCTTTGATCAGAATCCCAGGGCTGAGTGGTAGGGTCAGATGGATGGGTCAGTCCTCTTGCTTCTGGGCTGGGTAGTGTTCACAGCTTGTGTGCTGTTTCTCGAAAACCAAGTGACAGCAGTGTCTGCCTCCAAACGGCTGTGATCCCCAGCAGCCGGACTGAGCTATTCTGCCCCCTGCAGACCCTGGGGAGCTGCCTTCACAGTCCCTGTGGTGGACAGGTGTCACTGTCCTGGGCTGAAAAGTTGCTCAGGAAGACTGGCATCTACCCCTTCCTGCTGCTTTGCACTGCCCAGCACCACTGTACAAGACATGGTGCTTAAGGGCCAAGTAAGCCTGGAGGAGCCGTGTGCCCTAAGGAAACTGCCATTCTGACTGCTGAAATCTCTCCCTCACTGGTTTCCCTAATGCTGTTCACTCGGGTGTTTTCTTTCCCTTCTTAGTCCACATGAAGCTTCAACCATGCTTAGCAGCTGACTGTGCAACCCAAGGACAAAGACAGGAGGAGCACAGAGCCACGGTCTTCCTGGGTGTGAGTTCAGACAGTCCTCTAGGCTTGGGGGCCTCTGCAGGCTGAAGGTGGCCTGCACATCGATGCGTAGGAAGGTTGTGTGCCCACCATCAAGCCACCGCAATGCATCATCCAGTACAACAGCAGCATTAGGCACAAAATTCTAAGGCCCCAGTTGGAGCAGTACCTCATCCCCTCCCCCACTCCCCAGGACAGGATCAGCAGGCTGGGAATATCACTTTATCTGAATTTATTCCTAGTTGAGGGCTCCCAGAACAAATGTGATTGTCTTCTGCAAGCAGCTAGCCTAATCAGTGGGGTGCTTGGCCCAGGGCTCCATTCTGGCCTCTGCTCCTCCCAGAGCATGGCCTCTATCACCCTCTCACCCTTCTTTAGAAGAGTCCCCATCACCCCCACGTGAGTTGTGGACAGGCCCTTCCACTCAGGGTGGGGAGGGTCCAGCTCAGCCTGTACACGGTAGACAAAGGCACTGCAGGGCCCATGGGATCATAGGGGCTTCTGGTGGAATGGCTTCTGCTGGGGTTCCTGGGTGGGTGAGGGCTCCCTGCCACTACTGACCATCCAGAGATAGTCAGGTTGCACCTGGCCCTGCACAGCCTCAGTAGTCAGTAACTCCCCATCCACAGAAAACACACCCTGCCCACCCTTGCACTCTAGGCGAAAGGCGACTACGGGCACATACACCAGGTATGGGCAGTCACACTCCATGTGCTTGCCATCTTTCATGGCCAGGAAGAGGCGCAACAGCATGGCCCTCGATATGCCCGCATGCACATAGAACAGGTGCATGACACCAGCTGCACGCTGGCCCATGGGTGCTGTGAACATCGTGCTGCCCATGTGCGTGTGCATCAGGGCCAGCACCAGCACAAAGTCCCGCTCAGGCACCACAGTCCAGTGAGAGGGCACAGGCTCCTCCAGGGGAACGAGGTGTGAGTCTACCGGGCCCCCCTGCAGCGGCACAGGGGCTGTGGGTGTCTTACTGGAGATGGCGCTTCCTACAGGGAGGTAGGCTAGCTGGCCCCGGTAGGTGCGCAGGTTCACCAGGCGAATGACAGTGCCCACCGTGAAGCGCTTCTCCCCCAGGAACCGGTACTTCTCACTCTCCACATCCACATCAGCCACCAAGCCCCAGGCCAGGCCAAGCACAGAGAAGAGGCGAATCCCCGAGGCCCCATGCAGGGACAGAAGGTTCATGGGCGCTAGGAGCCGCCGGCAGAGCAGCTGTGTGCAGTTGGTCAGGAGATCTTCATCAGTCACCTGCTCATAGCTGCAGGAGAAAAGTCAGATGGGGCAGGTGCCCCCAGGCCTCCTTCCCTCCCTCCTGCTGGGGAGTGGGGACAGGCTAAACAAAGCATGGTCCCCTAAGCAGCTGACCAGGACAGAGACAGCAAGTGGCTGGAGCCAGCTGGGGCCACCAAGAAAGCACCCAGGAAAGAGGACATCTAGAAGAAGAGAGAATGGATGCTAACTCAGCCTATAGTGACTCAGAAAAGAAAACCTGCCAGTAGGAGCACAGAGATGGCACAGAGGCCCCTGGACTCTCACCCAGCATAGTGATTCAAGGAAGCTGCCAGCCCATTTCCAGAGCCTCCCGGGAGGCTGCACAGGGGCTTCTGGATGGCAGTCTCCCAGTCAGGCCGGTCCATGAGTCCGTTCACCACCTGTCAGGGCAGAAGTGGCCTTAGCCCGGGAGGCCCCACCCTGCTCCACCCTGGGACAGCCTCTGGTGCAAATCTTACCTCGTGTATCAGCCCGTCCCCAGCCATGATCACCAGAGCGTCCCAGAGGCACAGATCCTCCACCCGCACCAGCTCCCGCGCGTGGTTCGGTCGCTCTGACGGGAGACTGGCAGTTCTCAGGGCGGCTCCGTCCAGGGAATGCACACACCCTTGGTTCCGGGGAAAGGGGCGTACTCACCAGTAACCATCAGCTTGAAGGAGACTTCGGCTTCGGCCAGAAGGGGTTGCACGAGTCTCTGGAACTGCTGCAGCGCTTTGCCCTTGCCGCTGCGCGGGTTCAGTAACACCAGGACGCGGCAGGGCCGCGGAAGCGCGCCCCGGGCGCGGTCGCGCACTGTAAAAACAAGCGCAAGGGAGCCGAGTCTTCAACCGGCCACCGGGGCTGAAGAGCGCACCAGGGACTGGGGCAAGAACGTGGCTCCCGCAGTACTTGGTATAACTGACCCAGCCGAGCCCAGCAAGAGAAAGCGGCCTCTGGGAGGCGGACCCGGGTGGGTGGGGCACGGCGCCCCTGACACCCCATTTCCTTGGCTCAGGCTCGGCGGCTTTTGGTCTTGTGGGGAAAACCGTTTCTTGTCAGTGTCGCCGGCCCCTCTCTTTTGGCGATCCACTTTTCGGAGAGGGAGAGGGAATCCCCTATAGCCCTTCCCAGCCAGGCCCCCACAAACCTGAATCCATGGCCTCGTCCCGCGGTTCCCGCTGCCAGAGGAGACCAGGCGCTGTCTGGGCGCTGCCCACCGGCACGGCGGATCCTGCCTTCAGCTGCTTATCGGTGCCGCGCAGGAGGACGTCTCGGGGCCGGTTGTGGGGCTCACTCTCCCCGCCCGGAGCTGGGGCGCTGAGGACACCCGCGTCATTCCCTGCGGCATCCAGATCTGAGGGGTAGGGGAAAACAGCGCTGGCGGAGTCCTGGCTCACAACTCCTGGACAGAGGGTGAGCGCACGGCCGGATCCCGAAGCCACGCGCGGGCAGCTGCGCGCTGCTGAATTGCCAGAAGCCAGTGGGTCCGGGACCTAGCTTTCTGAAAGTCCCAGAGAGCCGAGGTCCAATGCCACCAAGAGACTGGGCCCCCACACTCCCGAGACGCAGGGTATCCGGACTGTCCTCCGAGCTCCTGATTTTTACCGCCGAACTTGAGCTGACAACACAAGGCATGAAGTTCGGGGCGAGGATCCTTGACCCAGTTAGCCTCGTCGCCGCATTCCCAGCCCCAGCTTCAAATCGGGTGGGGCCACTGTCGTGCGTCAGGGCCACTCGCCGCGAGTGGGCAGGAAAGCTGTACGGTGCGTGATCCAGTTCCCTCCTGCGGGCCGCCCGGGAGTCACCAGCCACCGGCGGGTACTGGTTGGCTGTTGCGCCCACACAGTTCCCTACAGTGGCCTGGAGCGGACTATAGTTTCCTAATTCCGAACTCAGCCCCACTATTGAGGAACAACTGAAGGACAAGCTGACGCAGAATACCCGGCCTCGCTGCCTCCCGCCTCAAAGTTTTCACAACTTTGTGGCGCCGCGGCGCGGGGAGGGCGCTGTGCCGCGTCGCCATCTGGCACCCGCCTCGCCTCCTTCGGCTCGAGGGAAGGGACTGTGCTGCGCGCTACCGCGGGTCCCACCCCTCGCCTCACCCCGGAGTCCCCAGCACTGCCCGCGCCCGCAGCTCGCCCACGCGCGGGTTCTAGGCTGAGTCCCAGGTCGGGGCTGCGCGCCTCCGCCGCCATGCGGCTGGGAAAGACTAAGGCGGTGAATCCCCGGAACTGCGCGCCCCGGACGCAGCGTCCCAGGCGCGCGACGGTGAACACCTCGCGCAGGAGGAGCGTAGGCCTTGCGCGAGCTCCCCTCCGTGCCGACTTTCGCGCCGACGCCCGGCCGAGCGCGGCTCTGTGCTCGCGCAGGATCTAGAGCTGCACCCCGACGTCGCGACCTCGCAGCAGTCGCGTGGCTCGCAGCCGCGATGCAGTGCGCCTGTCCCAGACCACTGTAACTGGACACGCAGACCCCGCCCGGCGCCCACCCCTCCACTGGGCGGGAGGTGTTGTGTCCTTCACCGTTACTACCCCCTGCTTCCCCCCGAGAGTTCCCTTCTCTTCTACCCTCGCTCTACAGCCAAGGGTTAGTTTTCGTTTCCTGATCAGCTTATCACCGATCCCGAGGCTGCCTGGAACTCCGACCCGGGCAGAGATGGCCTGGCTGCGGGCTTCAAGCCAGAGTATGAGATCGGAGGAGGAAGATTTGTCAGCAAGCTTAAAAGTTGGATCCTTTCCCCATTGTCGATGCTCACCTGAACCGGAGAAGCTGCCTGCAGCGGGCGATCTGGTCCGCTGAAGAGGAGTCTGGCAGGGTGGACCAGCTTAGGGGTCCCCGCTGGTATTGCAGAGGTAAGCACGGAGGGCGTGGTCCTGTCGCCCCAGCCCCTCCCGCTGACTCCGCGGGAAAAGTGGAGGCGAACTGGGACGCGGTGGGTGTGTGTGTGTGTGTGTGTGTGTGTGTGTGTGTGTGTGTGCCTGCGCGCAAGCGCGCTGCATTTTCACGGCAAGTGACCTGAACCGTGTCTGCGACCAACTGGAGATAAATCCCTGGAAGGTGATATGCGGAAACTACGAGAAAGAAGTTGTCGAGGCCCACTTGGTGACCTGACCAAGTAGGGCAAGGGTTAGAAAAATAACCCCGAAGGGGGCTGAGACGGGCCGGGCCCGGCTGCAGGGGGCTCACGCGCCCACACCCGCACCCACCGGCCCCACACACCCCTCCTTTGCTCATCGCTTTGTCCCATCGAGAAGAGCGGGCTGCGGGAGCAGCGCAGAGCCAGTTAGCCTACATGGCGTCTTCTCACCCCGAGGACCCAGTGGGTCGGCCTGGTTCCCACCCTTGGGGGCTCCCCTCGCGGCGCCAGGGGACGCGTAGCGTGGGACTCACGAGCCCTGGCCCGCAGGGTGCGTCCCAAGCGCTATCGGAGAAGGTGACTCAGCTACGCACTCTGGGATGCAGAAACTCCCGGAAACAAGGGGCCGGGGGAGTCACCCCCTCCAGAGATACGGCGCGCGCCCGCCTTGCGTCCCCGCCGCCCCGACTCCCCATCCTTCGCGGGCGGGGGAGGAGGGGCAGCCAGCAGCCGCAGTGCCGCGGCCACGCGCAGCGGGAACGCGAGCAGCGGCGCGGGAGGGGGCTCTGCGCGGGAACCGCGGGCCAGGCCTGCCCGCCTCTCCTGCTGCTCGACTTTCTGTCCCTGTACGCTCTGCGCCCAGACTTTGGCCCCGAGAAGCCGCGAATAGGAGCTGCGCTCTCCAAGATCTCGGCCTCGGAGGGGGTTGGCTGCGGAAACCGGCCGGGCAGCCCCACCGTCACCGTCTGCATCCTTGTTCGAGAGAGCATTTGTAGTCTGGTCTGAAAAGCCAGCTTCGCTAAGGCCTGCTAGGGGAAACTGAGGCACAGGGACGGAAAACCTCGTGCGTGAGTTTGTGCAGCTTGTTAGGGGGCAGGATTCCCCTTTTCCTCTCGGGGCCCCAGGATGGAGGCCTTGAATGGGCGGAGCTGACAGAGGCTGGGTTGACTGCAAACAGTTGGCCAAGGGAGGTGGGGTACCCGCTGGGCGGTCTGTCCCTCAGCCGGCCCGCGCCTTTCCCAACTGAGAAGTCCCAGTGTGGGGGAGGCGAAGGGCAGAGCCCTCTGGCCCCTGGTCCTCTCAGCACAATGCCTCCTCTGTCCTGACTGCCACCTACCCCGACCCCCTTACCTCCAGGGCCTCTGGCACTGCCCTCATTCTGTCAGTCGCCTCCGCCTCCGCGTCCCCGGAGGACTTTTCCAGAACCCTTTCTCTTTGTCTAAAAAATGTTATCCTATTTCCAAAACGTACTCATGGTGCATCCATGGCCAAGAGAGGATGAGACGAGAGCAAGATGCTGCTTTGCTTTTGACACACGAGACCCCACATCCAGAGAGGTGAAGATTTCCCCAAAACACTCTTTCCCAGGGGAGGCCAAATCTTGCCACAGCCTCCACTGTGTCCTAGGAAGCCCTGGGTGTCACCGTTCTGAGAGCTCTGCTCCTGGTTTGGCTGTGTCAGATGCTGGGGATGCCACACCCTGCCTAGGGGCCTCCAGGGGAGGATGGGTCAGGGAGGATCCTATGGCTCCTGTAGTTTTTGCCTGGCTTTCTGTTTCTCTAAATGGTTTCTGCTCTGGGCATGTGTGGGGTCACCCTGGCTTACTCTTTGGAGGTATCTTGCTGAGGCTGGGGTCTCTGCTGAGCCTCTTAGTCTCTACCTTTCTCTGCCCCTCATCAACCTTCAGGGATGTGGACCCTGGCTACAGTTCAGAGTCTTTATTTCCAGAGCATCTCTTCCGTTTCTTTTTTTGTGGTCCTGGTCACTGAACCCAGGGCCTTCACACTGAGCTACAAACCCAACCCTTTTATTTATTTAGTTATTGTTTTGAGACAATCAATCCCTAAATCAGTAACTGCCTGGGCTGGACTCAATTTGCATTCCCCTGCCCCAGCCTCCCAGGTTTGTGTCACCGCACACACACACTTATATACACACACATACACACACATAGAAAGAGAAGAGAAAGGGGAAAAGGGGAGCAGGGAGGGAGAGAGAGGCACAGAGGGGAAGGGGGAGCAAGAGAGACAGGAGAGCGTATGCACACACGCTGGAGAGTGAACCCAGAGCTCTTCCACTGAGCTGACGACATCCCTAGCCAAGATTTGTTGTTTAGATTTAATTTAGATGTGTTCTGCAATTTTATTTATTTATTTGTTTATTTTGAGTCAGGGTCTTGCTATGTAGTTCAGCCTGGCCTTGAACTCACTATGTGGGCCAACTGACCTCGAGCTCCCAGTGATCACTCTTGCCTCTGCCTCCAGAGTGCTGGGATTACAGACACCACACTTGGCCGCATTACCATCTATGGACATGTTCTTTCTCAGTATAAATGAAAGGGAAAACCAATACATTTTTAGGACCTCAGTGTGAATCACTGTTTCATGTTCTCGTGGGAAGATGGACTAGGTGTGTGTTTGTGATCCTGTGTTACAGGAAGAGAATATAAGGAAGCCAGGCCTACCCTCCTCCAAGTGTTACTGGGGTGCAGTCCTTTTGGGAGGAGTTGTTCGTATTTGCAGCCAGACTCCCACATTGTTCGGGCTACCTTGACCTTCAGATCCTGGCGTCTACCTTGGTTTATGGCATCTTCAGTTTCCTGAGCAGATGGGTTTGTTTTCCAATCCTTGGAAGAAGAGCTGGATTTTTCATTGTATGGTATATTAGGCACCTATTTCTGTACAGATTTAAAGCATTGCAAGCATATTATCTTACATTTCTGGAGGTCTGAAGTCTACAGTGGAGCTCAGGGGCTATGTAATGTGGCCTTTTCTATGGGCCCACCAACATTCCTTGGCTCGGGGCCCCTTCCTTAGCTTGCAAAACCAGCCGAGGAACAAGTAATGTCTTCAAAGCTTATCTCTGCCTGGCTTCAGCTTCCCGCTGTCAAATCTTCTGCCTCTAATTCTGTGGAGAGCCTGAGATTGCATTGACTCCATACAGATAACCCAAGTTAATCTCCCATCTCAAAATCCTTAATCATACCACCAAATTTCTTTTGTTCTATAGGGTACCATATCCATGGGTCCCATGGTTATGACATGGACATCTTTAGAGGCCATTATTTTGTCAATCACAGATGGTAGGGGAACAGGCTGGGTGTCATGTCCTGAATGTGGCTCCAGAACCTTTTCCAACTCCCTTTCCCCAGACCTACCCAAGTGAACACAGACCAGGACCTTGCTTTCTCCCAAATAAGCATTTGTGGAGTGGAACTAAAAACACCCTCACTGGGTTTGAGACATGATTTTATAGACTTTGTGGGCTTTGACTCATCCAGCACAAAGAAAATTAGTTTCCATTTTTGAAAATTACCCAAAAAGGAGAAATTGGTATCTTTGCTAAAGACAGTAATTACAAGATTGCAAACCTCAACTTGCCACCTGAGGAAGGGTTGGAAGCAGACCAGCTAGTCCATTTCCAGCCTGGCAGAATTTCCCACAGTGCTTTGCAAGAAGGGTAGCCCCCCGGAGACCCACAGAAATATGTGGCCCTCCTAGTTCCTGTCACAGGACCTGGCAGTCCAGCTGCTTCTACCCTCCTGTGGCAAGGCTGGACCACCCAACCTCACTGAAAGCCACAACCCTCAGGAAGTGTCACTCACTGGAAACAATCCATGAGCTCTGACGTCAGCTCCGTTTGGGCCCAAGGTGGGCTCTGGCCCAGCCTCTGACGCGGGACCCCACATCCTGCCCTTGTGAGGGGATTACTGCACCTTTTCTGTGCAGGTTACAGCCAGGCTCCATTCCGCCTAAGTCTGCCTGTCCCTCAGGTGCCCATAGTTGCTGGTCTGAAGACCTCCAGAGAAGACAGTCTGTACAGCTGTGTGTCGAGCCAGGGCCCAGGAGACCTGAGGACTAAGAAGCCAGTCCTGGCGTCTCTGAACTGAAAAGCAGAGCTGCTTTTCTCTCTCATCAGCGCAGCGTGGAGGATCTGGCAGCTGAGGGGATGGGTGTGTGCAGGGTTTTCCAGAGGCTTTTTGTTTTGGAATGTTTTCCACTTTCAAATCTCTCAAAAGTGAAACCCAGTCCTTGGGTGGTTCCCAAAGCAAACAGAGAGGACTGGAAGTGGTCCTCAGATGATGACCTGAGGCTGTTTCCATCCACCTGAGGGTGGACCTCTGAGGCTTTGGGGGATGCTCCCTGGCAGCCCCCCATCTCTCCCCTTTTACCAAGACACAAAGCCAAGCAATCTTCCTCCTCTGAAGCCAATTAGTAGGGGAGCCAGCGGACAAAGGAGGGTGCACGGGTCAAATTTCACCAAGCTGGAAAAAGGCAGGGAGCCTGGAGCATTGCTCGCTTGCTCCTTCCGTCATTATCCACATCCCCAAAATAGAAATTTCCTGTTCTCTGGAGGCTCGTTTTCTCAAGGTCAAAGCCTTTGGTTCTTTCCAGGCACAAACTGGGTAATTTAAGTAATGATTATGCAGGATGGCTGGACAGCTGGCTGGGGGCACCGCTCTGGACAGGGGTTGCCTTTGCCTAACCCCGCACCTGTGTGCAGCAAGGAGAGGATGCTGGGCAGATCCACTGTGACGGGAGCCCTTTCCAAAGGCAGAATTTCCGTGTCCTCTTTTTCATTGCCCTCAGGTCCTGGTCACAGCACTGTGACCAGCATCTTGAGAATGAGTTAAGATGTCATTTCTCCTTCAAGGCACCATCAAATGATCCTGGCTGCCTCCTCTGAGTCCCTGCTTTGAAACTGAACTTGTGGGGCTAGGAGTATAGTTCCATAGTAAGCACATGCTTAGCATATGTGAGGCCCTGGTCAATTCCCAGTATGATACATATGCCAGAATTGAAAACTGTGTGGGTAACCCAGTGAATACCTGTCTGGGTGCTGGGGATTTGGGTTCTTACTGTTTGGTATTTGAAGGCTTGCAAACTGAACAGTTCATGAAAAAGTATTTAAAATATGTATTTAAACCAAAACAGAAAGAACCTGGAGAGTGTTCTAGAGAAGGGGGAATCATCTCCCCTCCTCCACCTCCGGAAAACTGCAGTCAGCAAGGCTCTGCACAAATGCTGCTCGCAGCAGGCTGACCTCTCCATCTGCATCCCTCTGGCAGAGGCAGGAGAGGCCCCGGGGGAAGACACTACATCTAGGCTCCAAGTGCCCCTGCAATATGCCCAGAAAGGCACCTCACACCACTTCCTCCTCCCTCAGCCCCTGAGACTGAGGCCCCCAGGATGGGCAGATGGTCCTCCGCAGAGTTAAAAAGACACATCAGACTTTCTGACTCCATGTGACACCTGGAAAAATCCACAGCATCGGAATTTGGCGTTTGCAAATAAGCACAAAACATTTTAGGCTGAGTTCTGGTTGTCCTGTGACAGTATCTGTAACTACATGGTTCTCTGACTGAGAACTTTGAGTTCCTAAGAAAGGAAAATGCTCAATTACTGCAAAGATAATTAGTGTGAGGCGGGTGCTGCCTCCTTTCCGGTGTTGGCA